GGTTTTTTGCAGTCGCCCATACTGAATTTCAAATATTTGGTTTTTTTGCAGTCGCCCATACTGAATTTCAAATATTTGGTTTTCTGCAGTCGCCCATACTGAATTTCAAATATTTGGTTTTTTGCAGTCGCCCATACTGAATTTCAAATATTTGGTTTTCTGCAGTCGCCCATACTGAATTTCAAATATTTGGTTTTCTGCAGTCGCCCATACTGAATTTCAAAATTTGGTTTTCCGAGCCGCCCGAGCCACCCGTATCGACCATTTACCCGGCGCTATGGGATTCCTCCAGACGTTTCTTGAACTGATGTGGTCTTCTGAGGTTGAGAAAGAATTTTTCGACCACGTGGCACGGGCTGTGGAAGCTCGCCAAGTAGTTCAGCACCAGGCACTATACGATACGAATCGTCAGATCAACCAGGTTGACCGAACCAACCTGGGAAAAATAATAGGTTTCGTCTTCGCCGAAGACCTCGACGAAACTGCCGATGCAAAACGAAGCAGCTTAAAAAAACTCGGGTGTGAAGAACTCATCGCTCTGGGTATAGCTGTTAAGATCAGGGACTTGAAGATTCGTAACCAGGAAGTGATCGACGATCTCGTCACAGCCAGCCCGCGAATTAGGGCTAGATTGGATGAACGTATCTTCTCCGACCCTGAGATTTTCAATGTCGTTACTGGCCTCGAGCCCAAGCTTCAAAGTCAAATTTACAAGGACTTCCTTAACAGTAAGTTGGCTCCGAGTTTAATCCAGCAGCCATCCGCTGACAAAGTAGACTTCCGTGGTTTGTGGTTTGAACGAAATAAATATTCGGCGGTCGCACAGCCACGCAGAAGGAAAAGGAAGAAAATCACAGCAGCGGACAGCCCCAGTGAGGACACTGCACCGACCCGTATCGCTAGTTCGCCAAAGCAAGACCTTCATCATCCCACATCGTCGCACGCCCTGCCGTCGGGTGCAGCATCACCTATGGGCATCACTGTCCAACCAATGCCCCATCAGACCGGATCGGCACCTT